CAGCTTTATGTTCAGAGACAATAGGAGCCGTTGGCTTAAATTTGCAGTTTACTGTATTTATGGCTGTAATATCAAGGTGCTGCCGTCGTAATTTCATGCCCCAATGAGAAGAGCAAGGTCGAAGCAAATGCTTCCATCGGCATCTGCTAGCACACTAACTCATAAACAAGGCCCGGCTGGATCAGGTGGCACGGAATAATACAGGCTAATGAAATACAGCACAGCTTTCCATTACTGTTAGTTTTTACAGTGTCGTCATTACGTGTAATTTATGTTTAAAAAATTCAATTTTATACAAGGCACTGGGAAATAGGGGTCCACAGGTCATCCAACGACTTTTAGAGGCTTCAAGAGTCCTTATTGTACTCTACTGTTAACAAAATGTTAATAAAATAAAATAAAAATACTTTTTCCCTTTCCCCTCCCCGAACCCATTCTGAGAGAGTTGATTTTTCTTTTAATTTGGGGAATATCTTTAGCCAGCTGTCTTCCCTGCCTCATCTCCTCCCGGAATGTGCCAGGCAGATAACAAGTTGTGTTCTGAGAGAGGTGACCCCCGCTCAGTCTCCAGAGTCCCAGATGAGTCAGAGATTGAGGGGCTGCGGATGGAGGGTGATGCTCTGAACTCAGGGCCTTTGGCTGCTGCCCTCAGCTGTGGGCCTGGGGTTTGGCCCCCTCCCCCAATGTTCCTTTCATTCTCTACAGTGTGGTTGTTAAGCTCAAGCCCAGACTGGAAGGCGCTGCTGGGCTCACTGCCTTGGTTGTTGCCCTCCGTCTTGGTCGTTTGTCCTTGCACGATGCAGAGAACACTTCTGTCATCTGTTGTGTTCCACAGACATTCTCGGCTTCACCTCCACAGAGTCAGGCAGAGAGCTGTGCCCAGTACGCACTGCAGACAGTGGAGCTGTGTGTTCTGAGAAGCCCTGTGCAGCCAGCCCACAGTAAATAGCCCTTCCGGGTCCTGGCTTTGGCCTGAGTCTTGGGAGAGGCTGGTGGGGCATCATGTTCACCCTGGTGTGCTTGGCTTTGTTTGTGGTCTAATAGAAACTTTCAGAAACAGAAAACAGGTTTGTTTATCTGCTAGGAGATAAGAATCGGCGGATGTGACTGTCCTGAGTCAGTTCAGATTGCAGTGCAGCCTGTCTTTGTGATCACGGGGTGCTGCTCCCTCCTTCCATTCTTTTAAATGCAGTCACTATGGACAAGTGTTGGGCGGAAACCCTTGACCCCCTGTCTACACTGGGGCAGTAGCGGTAACTTCCCGATTTGGGGGAATGGAGGGAACCAAGGGAACAAGAAAGGTGCTGGGAGCCTTCACTTAGCTGGTGGGCTTTGCAGATTAGGCAGCTGTGGCCCCACCAGGGAGGCAGCTAGCATTCACTGTTCTCAATCGTGGCTCCTGTCACTGCTCCTCCTACCCCCCTGGACGGCTTTCTGAAGTTATTCCTTATCAAAAATAGGTGATAGGATGGCACTCTAGAAAAATTCCCCAGTGGTAGAAGGGAAGGAGATTAAAATGCCAAGTCTGAGTGGTGTCAGACGTCAACCGTCCACACCTCAACCAAGCTAACTCTTCCAAAGGCAGGTAGGGAGCAGGGGGCTTGCTCGCAGGATGGCAAAGTCCTTTGCTCTCTGCTCTGTTCAGCCATTGCTCAGTCTCTATGCGGTTAGATTATTCCTCAAGATAGCAATCAACTGGAAGGAAGTGTGTGCGTCTAATTTGCATGAGATTATTTAAAACAACAACAACAAAAAAGGTCTGCATTAGTCAGGGTGATGGTAAACAGCGCAAAGAGATGCCTTTTATAATATAGCCTGTGCCTTGGCTTTCAGAGCCAAATATAATTCACTTACAATTGGCAGTTTCCTTTATTATTCCTTTTAACCTTTTGGATTCTGCAAGGTCTCAATCAAAGATCTGCATTGTTTATCTTTCAGGGTAAGTAGGAAAGCTGGATGTTTATGCATGGGTCCTGTGGCAACAGCTCCTCACAGAAGTAGGGTCATCTCTGTGCCACGAGCCAGTGTCTGGGTAGATAGCTAGTCTTGACTCAGGGAGGAGTGAGGGACCCCTACTTGGTCTTCCTGCATCCCAGGCGGACCATCTAGCTCTGTAAACACAGTCCTGAACCTGGCCAGGGCTGCCCTAGCAGTGGATACCCACAGAGGCGCATGGATGCCCTGTTTGTCACTTTGGAGTTGTTACAATGCTGTCTCGTTATCATCTGCAGATCTGACCCAGGAGTGTCTATAGCCCCGTGTTTTCATATCCCCATGAACTAGTTATTGGCTCTTATCTGCAGATGCGGTCCAGGGTGTCAGGGGAGAAAGTTTAATCCTTCTCTAAACGTTGACACACTCAAGACTGAAGTTCTGAGTCTGTCATCTGACATTTGTAACTCTGATTGTCATCTGCATCACTGTTCTGGAGGACAAGTTTGATCTTGGCAGTCCTCACCCCTACCTCACTCAGGCTTTTCATCTGCTCAGTAGGGGCAAGGCTGAGCCAATTCTCCAAGTCGAAAGTTATGCTCCCCTCCCTCCCTCCCTCCCTCCCTCCCTCCCTGCCTCCCTCCCTCCCTGCCTCCCTCCCTCCCTCCCTCCCTCCCTCCCTCCCTCCCTCCCTGCCTCCCTCCCTGCCTCCCTCCCTGCCTCCCTCCCTCCCTCCCTCCCTCCCTCCCTCCCTGCCTCCCTCCCTGCCTCCCTCCCTGCCTCCCTCCCTCCCTCCCTGCCTCCCTCCCTGCCTCCCTCCCTCCCTCCCTCCCTCCCTCCCCGCCTATCTGTCTGCCTACCTGCCTGCCTTCCTGAAAAAACAACCCATTTATTGAAACTGAATCAAACCCCTGAGTCTCCGGGAGAACTAGGCATCTAAGAATTGCAGCCAGTGTAGATTTAGAGCATCAGATGACAAGACCCCAGAGAAGCAAGAGCTGGAAGGAAGTGCTGATGCCAGTTAAACCATCGCCTCACTGGTAGGCTCGGCCGAGGTAATGCAAGGTGTGTTTTATTAGGAAAATAGGCTTCCTAAAAGCTCAGGGCCAGAGGGCAGAACAACAGGCAGAGAGAGTCCTGTTCCTTTAACCAGCTCTAGCTCCCAAGGCTAAGGCACAGCCTGGAACTTGCTGTATATTTCCCCAGCGTTAAACATTATCATACTTGTTTATATTTGAAAGAGCCAAAAGGGAAAATGAGAGTGCAACTGAATGCTCCTTTTGGGAAAATTATCCTCATTTGCAGCCAGCAGCTGACAAGGCACACGATCCTCCAGGTTTATAGAATCCCGCGGTGTACCAGTGACCAGCAGCCTGTGCTGACGTCGCGGATGCTGCTTCCTTCTCCAGCAGCGCCCTTCTCCCAGCCTTGGGGAGGAGTGCCCCTTCCTATTTAGGAAGAGCAGTTGGCAGTGACTGGCAGGTGAAGGAGCCCAGGAAACACAAACTCTAGGGAACTGTGTCCTCTAGTCTTGCCTGGCTTGTCTGTCTGTCCTGTCCCTGTTCTGGGGAGGAGACATGATAGGAAAAGCAGCATTTGTGGCGGGCTGTGGATGTAAGCAGTGGGATCCCTCTCCAGCCCCAGTCTGAGGTGCCCTGTCGCTTGATCACCTGCGCCCAGCCTAGACGAGTGCTGCCCACCGTACCCTAGACTGACAAGCAGTAGTGCTGGCTTGCTTCTGGTTAGCTTCTGTGTCTGTGACCTTTTGCAGTAGGGCATGAAAAGTCTGAGGGATGGCTGGAGCCCACTCAGGCCAACCAGATGCAGGGCAGAGCTGGGCTTTAAAGCATTAATGTGCACCATGTATTAGCCCCCAGGCACAGAGTGCGAGGCACCACACTTTGAAGATGCTGATCCTCAGAATCGCCTCGTACTTCATCCACCTCTAGGGACAAGTATGCCATGCTGTGGGCCTCTAATGGAGAGCCGCCGAACAGATGCGGAAAAGCTCTCAGCCCTGGTTTAAAAGCTCTGTGTTGCCACTCCACTGGATATTGGGATCCCGGAACAGCCTGGACCAGCTTGAGTTGTCAGGTGACCTCTCACCTGCTTTCCCAGCCGCTGCAGTGGATCTTTTGTACACCCATTATTTCCTGAGTGGGCTCTATGGGAGTCTTGTCTGTCACACACCTGGGCTCCCCTTCACTCCTGCTTTTCAGTGCGCATCGTTCACCGGCAGTCAGCCCCCCCCCCCCCCCGAATTAGGGTCTTGGTGGACTTTCGCTTCACTCGCCTTCCATCCCTTCGTGGGAAAATCCTCTCCACATGCCATAGCCACTGCAGATGGCGCCCTGAGATTTCCTAGTGCCGTGTGCATTGTAGTTTAGAGTTGGAGGATCAAAGGAAGGGGGAAGAGAAACTAGCCAAAGGCGGTCCAGGCAGCCCGTGCTAGGGTAGAGCAATAATCATCTGGGAGTATGGGCCTGGTCTTGTTTTGATCTGTTTTCTTGTTTTATTTTCTTCTTTACATCCTATATCCCATTCATACTAATCACAGTCAGTCCTGATTTTTCTTTTTATTTCTGCATTTGTCATAAAATAAAGCAAATTATTCCCGTCTTCGGAAACGATCTAGACTAATTAGTCGTCTCACCCAATAATTAGTTTTTTTGTTTCCCTGTCTGTTTTCATGCATTATTGTTAGTTTTTTCCCCTCTTTTTTTTACCACCATTACAGATTAAAATGAGTCACATTTGCAGTTGATGGTATCTGTTTTCGGGGGAAGAATGGAGAATTGCAGTATGGAGCGACTTCAAAAGCAGCAATAAACTCAAGGATAAATTAAGGAAATTGAATGAGCCACATTTGGAGCAGTGTTGAGGCTAATATTCTGTCGCTTAAGGTTAAATTGCAACTGAGAGAGGTTCCCAAGAATCCAAAATCGAGGAGGCAGTGTGCTTGAATGCAAGGCGCTCTGTGGCCGTCAGGGCCTCCTTGCAAAGGCAGACTTTGCTGCTGTGTGGGTGCTGGCGATATCCTCACCTGTACCCTTTGCTCTTCTCCCTAGGGCTGACAGACGACGAGATTGACCTGGCTTTCCAGCAGTCGGGCACTGCTACAGATGAGCCTCCGTCCTTGGGCCTGGCTACGCCAGTGGCTCCTGTCCAGACCCCCCACCTCATCCCACAGCCATACAGTAAGTCCCCCGACCCTCGGCCTGCTCAACTGGGACTGGGACTCAGGACACTGGCGAAGAGCAGGACTCCACAGCTTCCACCGCAGCAAACTGGGAGAACTTGGCTTCTCTAGCGATGAAAAAGTGGCACACTTAAATTTGTCTAGAGCCAGTGTAAGCATGTGCCAACGACTGCAGCGGATAACGAGCCAGCCGCTGGTGGTGCTTCAGGCACTTCAGTCACACAAATGGCCAGTTCTGCTGCCGCTTCCGACCCCAGTGATTCTGAGTGCTCGCTTCCTAACACGAGCATGGCAGTTGTGAATGGCTTCTCCTTTACCCATGGACGTAATTGTCTCCTAATTTTGTTTTTAAACTTAATAGATTTAGGTCAACCTTTGCTCCCTTGTCCTGACTCCACTGTGTAGATCGATATAGTGACAGATTCTCAGGGAATTTCGGGTTAATTACAAAGAAAGGTCCTTTAATGATGACATGGAACCCTGTGGAGGGGAGTTTGTTGTTTAAATGGAGGTTGCCGTAGTAATAGATATAGCGCTGTGCATCCATCCAAACAAGAACATCACCTCTTCTCTAAGTCAGGTGGAGAAACCTAAAAAAGTTATCATTGGGCTGGAGAGATGGCTCAGAGGTTAAGAGCACTGACTGCTCTTCCAGAGGTCCTGAGTTCAATTCCCAGCATCCACATGGTGGCTCACAACCATCTGTAATGAGATCTGGTGCCCTCTTCTGGCTTGCAGATGTACATGGAGCAGGATGTGTTGTATTCATAATAAATAAATAAATCTTTTAAAAAAAGTTACCATTATCTTCAAAGCTATAAGAAACAGCCTAGATTTGTTGCTTTTATATAACTCAGCACAGGTTCTATTATCTTTCAAGTCTTTTCTAAAATTGTCTTCATTTTAATTGTCTAGAAGTCTTACTTTTTCCAAAAAGTGATTTAAAAGAGAGTTCAAGACCAGATTTTAAAGGGTGTATTAAAAAATGACAGATGGTACATACCTTTAATCCCTGCATTTGGGAGGCAGAGGCAGGCAGATCTCTGTGAGTTTGAGGACAGCCTGGTCTGCAGAGCGAATTCCAGAACAGCCAGGCCTGTTACACAGAGAAACCCTGTCTCCAAAGGCAAAAAGCATTAAAATTATATATATATATATAGAGCCAGGTTCATTTTGATCCAGAGCACGACTCACGTCCTCTTCCTTCTCCCCTTATGGGCACTTTTGCCCGGCCTGCCTACGGCTGGGAGGTGCCCCCTCCCCAGCAGACGCGTCAGCGGGGTGTCCTCCCTCCCCTGTGGTCAGGTGCAGTACCAGGCAGAGTGCTGGCTGCTGTGTGCATCTGGAGAGTCCTTTGCTTTCTGGGTAACGCTGAGCGGCGGGGCCAGGACACATAGACCATGTGTCTTGTTCCTCTGTGCCTGGTCTGAGCCACTGGCTGGTGTGAAGACTCATTTCTCTTTCCCAGCCCAGATCCTCTCAATCTGTTGTGTAGGCTTCGGACTCTAAGCATACTTTTTAACTAAAGGCTAAGTTAGTATCCCTAAGCCCAGCCGTTTAATGGGGTTTGTTGAGGACAGGCAGTGGCAGCTGGGTGCAGAATTGTCTAAGCACAGCTGTTGTGTTCCAGCTGTTTCCTCCCACGGCTTAAGACCAAACAGGTCTCTCTGCTACTTGGAAACTTCCTGCTCGGAACAAATTGTTCTGCTTGGTCACAGAGTTGGCATCAAATGTCATATGCTTGCCTGTCTTCTGGAAGTGCAAAGAGTTAACTATTAGTTTTTCCTGGCCGGCAGCAGCGGTTGAATCTGCAGTGTCCTTCAAGATTGCAGGCTTAGACTCTTAGTCTCCTGGTCCTAACAATAACACGTCTTCTTAGCGGCAGGCTCCCCCCCCCCCCTTGACACTGGCACGGAAACAATGGGAGTGATCATTTTTAATGCTGGAGTTTTCAGTTGTCACCACCGAGCTTCATTCTTCGCATACTGCTCCATCACTCCTTTCAGCTTGGGGGTGACTCCGTTCTTCACTTCTGTACTTTTGCCAGGAGGTGTCAAAACTGCTCAAAAAAAAAAAAAAAGAAAGAAAGAAAAAGGAAAAAAAAGCTTGATTTTGATTAATATAGAGAAACAAGACTTTGCCTGACTGATAATAAAACTGATAAATGACATTTGAATTACTTGTAGCGGTAATTTATTACATAAAATATCTTTTATTTGACATACGATTAGTTGCTGGAAGCATCACTCAATCTGACGAGTTTAAACATGCTCTAAAATGAACCCCAGTAAAAACCAGGGCTGTCGGCTGCTGGCGTTATGAAATATACTAATCCTGGAGTGAGGAAAAAAATCTGACTTTAAATATTTAAATGATTAATTGGGTTTATATATATATTTTTTTACCTCTCTAACCCCCTTAATTACAAGCAAACTCAGGGGAGTTTCTGAACTAGGTGTGCAATCTGCATGCTTATCGCCCAGGCATTGTCTGCGTCTGGGAGGGATTTATGGCCTCTGTTCATGTGTGCTCCTGCTGATTCTGTGCCTAGATCCCAGCAGCCCTTTCCTTCCCATTTCTCAGCTGTTTAAGGACATTTCATCTTTGAGCCCAAGTCTAGAAAACGGGGTCCCTCAGTGCAGCCCCAAACACTCTAGTGTCAGGGTTAGGGTCTCTTTTGAGAATACCTGTGGACCCGGCATATGCTGACCTTTATCTCCCAACCTGGCATGGTGGCCATGGGCTGCTGGGTGCCTCCTTTGCCATCTCTGCTTTCTGGTGAGTGTGTTTGACCTTGAAATATTAGTGGATGGCAGCAATGAAGAGAGCACCGGGAGAACTCCCGGGACGGTACTTGTTCAGTTCAGTGTGTAAGCACCCTCTAGGTGTTCAGCTCTGTTACGTGGGAGTTCCAGAGCATGGTCTTTTGGAATTTTCAGGCTCTTAAGAAAAAGAGAATAGTATCAGACATTGTGACTTAATGCCAAAATTAATTATACCGACAAAAAATTCTGTAAGATTACAGAAAAGAGAAAAATTAATGTGGGCTAAGGAAGTGAGGAGGTTTTGTGAACGTGGCAGGAGATGACACCCAGAGAAGCCTGGTGTCACCTAGTGTGAGAATAAGCCAGTGTTCTGAGGGCTTCGGAGAGTCAGGCAGAGCTCAAGCAAAGCCAGGCTAGGCTGGGAAGAGAGCCCTGGTACTCAGTTTCTGCTCTTGCTTGCCTCCCTGTGAGCTTTCACAAGCCCTGTGGATAGGCTCTGGGTCCCGCTCCATCCCCTCAGTCATTTGTGCGTGAGCTGTTTTGTTTCCACCCACAGAGATAAAAGCACCAAGGGGTACTGCGGTATAAGCAGGCCTAGTGTAAATTTTGTGGGGTGATACCGGGTTCCAGCATTGGCCCTCGTCTTTGATGGACAGTGGAACCCTTAGGGGCTGGCTTGAGCTTTATTTAGTTGCCTGGGGCTGGCGGAAAGCTTTGAATCATTTGATTAGAAGTCCTGAGAGAGAGAGAGTTCTTCTCAGTTTGCCTCTGTTGCAGCCCTATTTAGTAACATAAACTTACCTCATTGAGCTACACTCATTATTGAGTAACTCCCAGCTACTAAGCACTGTGCTAGGCCCTGGGACAAAAGGTTGTTAACGAGATCTGTTAGTTTTCCTTTGCTAAGACTTGAGAGAGTCAACTTAGAAAGACAAAAAGGTTATTTTTGGCATATGGTTGCAGTTTGTGATTGGTTGACCTGGTGGTTGGGACTCTCTGGTTGTGGGTGTTGGATGACAATGGCAGGGAGCATGTGGCAAAGAGAAGCTGTTGGTGTCATGGCCACAGATGAAAGGAAAGAGAAGGTTCTGGGGCCTACACCTGTCACCCCACAGCGGCTGAAGATCTCTCTGGGATGTTGTCCCTACGTCCTAAGAGCACCGGGGAATGAGAGCTCCAAAGCATAGCACCAGGCTGGCTGCTGGCTGCAGTTGCCCCCATCTAGTGGAAAGGACGGTTAAGCCAGCATGTCAGTGCCTGGGAGGCAGGACCAGGGAAGAGGGGGGGGGGCTCTCCTAAGAGCAAAAACTTCAGTGACCCTGTGGGTGACGGGCTCAGTGTTCTGACAGGATGGACAAGAGCGCAGAGACAGGAAACTGTGTGATGGCCTTAAGGATCTCTGGGTGATGCAAGAAGCTGGGGGAGGAAAAAAAAAAAGGCAGCTGAGCCGTCACACTGACAGGAAAGCCAGCAACCCGCGCTGGCTGGTCATTTCTGAAGTTGTGTTGTCTCTTTGAAGAGATGGTCCTTAGACGGATGTTAGAGTTGAACATGGGGTGAGCCTGTCTGAGCCACTGTTGCCCTCCTTGTCATCCTTGTCCAGCAACATCCATCTTCCCAGTGCTTCACCCCGACCCAGTGGAGGTGCCCGGTGCCTCTCACAGCCCCTGCTCCCCACCACGCCGCACTTAAATGTTTGTCCCCGTGTCTTTCTATTCATCTGTGAGTCCTGAGGCTTTTCAAAAACTCTAATGGCTCTGACTTAGCAGCTGTCTAGAAATGCTTGTTGCCTGCGTGAACTGTGGAGGACCGAGAAGAAATGCCTGGTGACGATACCCATTTGGTCACAAGCCCATCAGCCAGACTGTTCCCAGGCTTAGTCCATGTAGGCTGTTCTGGGCAGGTTGTGGAAACGGGCAGGCTTGCTTTCAGGAGGTCACCGTTTAATGCCAAGGAAGCCTGGTGTTTGGGGAAGGACAGAGATGACTAGCCACTGCCGTGCTGTGCAGCGATGACCTTGAGAGTTTCCTTTCAGTGTGCAGAGACAACAGTTTGGAACTCCAGAGTGATAGTCTTCAGAGCCTTGAAAGGATGAGGCTTGAACTGTCTTTGCATGTCACTAAGCCAAGGCTACATTTCGGAAAATAGGTTTTCTCTGCTACCTAAATGTAAGGCATCTCACTTACCATGGAGGCTCTGCAGTCTTCAGGGACCCAGGTCTGCATCCTTGACA